TGTGGGACGGGGGGAGGGTGTGTGGGAGGGGGGAGGGGGAATGGGAGGGTGTGTGGGACGGGGGGGAGGGTGTGTGGGAGGGGGGGAGGGGGAGGGGAGGGTGTGTGGACGGGGGAGGGTGTGTGGGAGGGGGGAGGGGGAAGGGGAGGGGTGTGTGGGACGGGGGGAGGGTGTGTGGGAGGGGGGGAGGGGGGGGGAGGGTGTGTGGGACGGGGGGGAGGGGGTGTGGGAGGGGGGAGGGGGAAGGGGAGGGTGTGTGGGACGGGGGGAGGGTGGGGAGGGGGGTTGGAGGGGAGGGGAGGGGTGTGTGGGAGGGGGAGGGGGAAGGGGAGGGTGTTGGACGGGGGAGGGGAGGGGAGGGTGTTTCGCTGTAAACATCTCAGTCTAACGTTGTTTTCTTCATGCCTTTGTTTACTGTTGCAGCGTGTTGCATTAGCGCGTTGTTGAGGTGGTTATGCAATGTAACAATTGGCTTCCGATGGCGTATAGTGTATCATTGTATTATCGTGCTGTATTTTTAGCACCATGGCGATGATGATGATGATAATGATGCTAATGGTTGAATTATTATGGTAAGAAATGATAATTAAGGTAATACTGACAATGCTAATTTTAGGAAAATGATGATGATGATGATGGTGTTAATGATAAAAATAGTAATACTGAAGACGTTAATGGTGATGATGATGATGATGATGAAGATAATGATGCTGATGGTTGAATTATCATAATCAATAATGCAGGTAATACTAAAAATACTGATAAAAAATATATAACGATGATAGAATTACCGATGAAAATGATAATAATGAAGTTATGATGAAGATGATCATGATGCTGAACATGATGCTGATGGCGAAATGATCATGACAATAAATGATAACAAAAGCAATACGAAATATAATGATTTTCAGAATAATGATGATGAGTCAATAATGTAATGATATGATGATAATGGTAATAGTATCGAGGATGAAAATATGAATACTGATAACAATAATGATGAAAATATTAACTTTAATTTATTCATACATAAATACATTTGAGCTTTCTGTGCCTTGTCGCTCTTCATTGCCAATAAATGGCGTTTTTTTTTTTACTTTTTATTTATTTATTCACTTATTTTACTTTTTTTGTACACAATATGCAATACGGTTAAATATAATGATGGTAATGTTGGTGATCGTGATGATAACGATGATGATAACAATAGTAATGATGATAATAATAACGCTGATGATAACAATAGTAATGATGAAAATAACGATGATAATGATAACGGTGATAATAATAATGCCCATAATAATGACATAATGATAATTAGCTAAATAATGATTAGTCATAATGATCATGATAATGAAAATGATAATGATAATAATGATAATAAAAATAATGATGATCATGATAGTAATGACAGTATTATCAATAATAATAATAATATCGGCAAAACAACAATAGCAATGATAACGATGATTATAAAGATAAAAGTAGAATCAATAGTGAAGATCATGATGGTAATAATAATAATGATAATAATAACAATGATAATAATGATAACAGCAATGACAATGACGAGAACAATAATGGTAAGGGTAATGATAATTATGATAATGATAATGATAATGATGATAATAACAATAATGATAAAGACAATGATAATGATATTAATAATAGTAATGATAATAATAACAATAAAGATAATGATAACAGTGATGATAATAATAGTGATAATGACAATAATGATAATGATAATAACAACAATAATAATAGTAATGATGATAATAACAATAATAAAGATAATAAAAGCAATGATGATAATGATAACAATGATAATAATAATGATGATAATGATAATGATGATAATAATAATAATAATAGTAATGATGATAACGATGATAACAGTGATAATATTAACAATGGTAATAATGATCATGATAATGCTGAAAATTGTAATGATAATGATAACAAGAACAATAATAATAATGATAAGAATACCAATAATAATGAATATAATGATAACAATAACAATTATAATAAGAGCAATAATAATGATACTAATAACAACGATAATGATAATAACAATGATAATGATAATGATTAAGATAATGATGATAATAATGATAATGATAATAACAATGACAATGATTATAATAATGATAATTATAAGAATGATGATAATATAATAAATGATGATGATGATGATATTAATAATAACAATGATAATAGTAATGACAATAATAATAATAATTATAATGATAACCATAATGACAAAAATAACAATAACAACAACACAACAATAACAACAACAGCAACAATAACAACAACAATAACAACAACAATAACGACAACAATACCCCTTTCCCCACCGACCCAACCCAGAGCATCATCTCAGCTCTTCGGTCCTTCGCCTCCAACACCACAGCCCACGGACCGAGGCTGATCACTCTCTCGAGGTCGACCTCAGCGTGGTTGTCTTGGGCCTTCATCTTCCTCACTGCCTTCTGTGTCGTCGCCGCTATCTTCATGGCTGTCGAGGTGACGAATATCGCCTTCTTCAGTGACAAGATCGAGAGCACGGTAGGTCTAAGCGAAGGTAATTTTTTTTTTGGGGGGGATGTTTTTTTTGGGGTATGTGCGTTTTGTTTGTTATTTGTGGATGTTGGCTATTGTTTTTTTTTTTTTTTTTTTTTTTTTTTTTTTTTTTTTTTTTTTGGTTAAACTGCTTATCTTGTTTTTTTTTTCGTGTCTGTTTTATGTTGTGTGTTGTGTGTGGTGTGTGTGTGTGTGTGTGTGTGTGTGTGTGTGTGTGTGTGTGTGTGTGTGTGTGTGTGTGTGTGGTGTGCTGTTGCCTACTACTACACACACACACAAGTATGTATATAAGAAATTGTGTATTGTATATATAATATATATACTATATATATATATATATATATATATATATTATATATACATATATATATATATATATATATATATATATATATATATATATATATATATATATAATATAATATATATATATATATATATTATATATATATATATATACATGTATATCAGATAGATATAAATATGCATATAGATATAAGCATTATCAATAAATCTAAACATAATACCTTAATTGATCTCTATGAATCTTCACTTTCTTTCTCTCTTTCTCTTCCCCCATTTATCCTTCACCCTCTTTCTCTTTCCCTATCTATCCCCCCACCCTCCCTCCCCCATCTATCCACACCCTCTTTCTCTTCCCCTTCTATCCCCCCCCCTATCTCTCCCCTATCTATCCCCACCCTCTTTCTCTTTCCCTATCTATCCCCCAATTTCTCTCCCTTATCTATCTCCCCCACCCTCTTTCTCTTCCCTATCTATCCCACCCTCTTTCTCCCACCCTCTTTCTCTTCCCCTATCTATCCCCCCTACCTCTTTCTCTTCCCCTATCTATCCCCCCACCCTCTCTTTCTCTTTCCCCTATCTATCCCCCCACCCTCTTTCTCTTCCCACTTCCCACCCTCTTTCTCTTCCCCTATCTATCCCCCACCCTCTTTCTACCCTTTCCTTCCTATATATCCCCCCCACCCTTCCTATTCTCTTTACCCCTATTCTACCCCCCCCCACCCTCTCTCTCCCTCTGTGTATCCTTAGATGAATTATATATCAAAGATTATGCAAGCCTTTACATAAATCGAAAATCAATGGCAGTTTCACCGCCCTCCAGATCCGGATGGAAAGAGCGCCCAAGGAAGGCAAGCCGCTGCCCACCGTTGTGCTCTGCAATGCCGGATACTGACGACCAAGCCAATTTCGCTGTCCTTTTTGTCGGATGTGTGCTCTGCAATGTCCCGTAATTCTTTTTTTTTATGTTGTTTTTTTAATGCGGGATATTGACGACAAGGCTGCTGATGGTGAGGGAATTTTCGTTTTTTCAGTGTCGTTTTTTTTGTGTCTTAGTGTCGTTGTACACGTAATTCTCGTTTTTTTATGTTGTTCTTTTTAATGCCGGGATATTTGACGACAAGGCTGCTGATGGTGAGGGAATTTTCGTTTTTTCTTAGTGTCGTTTTTTTTGTGTCTTAGTGTCGGTTGTACACGTAATTCTCGTTTTTTTATGTTGTTCTTTTTAATGCCGGGATATTTGACGACATGGCTGCTGATGGTGAGGGAATTTTCGTTTTTTCTTAGTGTTGGTTTTACACGTAATTCTTTGTATAATAAAAACGATGATAAGTTTGTAAGTTTTTGTATCTTCTTAGTGTTGGTTGTACATGTAATTCTCGTTTTTTTTATGTTGTTTTTTTAATGCCGGGATATTTGACGACAAGGCTGCTGATGGTGAGGGAATATTTGTATCTTCTTAGTGTCGGTTTCACACGTAATTCTCGTTTTTTTTTATGTTGTTTAAGCTATAGTTATGTTGGCCATGTTGGTGTGTGTTTATCAGTATGGCTTTTTGTCTCTATGTTTATTATCTTGTTTCCCCGTTGTGCTATAAATTTGGCTAGACCGTTAATATCGATTAGCTGTTTATGCAACCCGAATAATTGACGTTTGATCATCGTGTTGATTCAGCGGGCAGGGATAAGCAACACACATAGACACGGCAAGGATATAACACACACATCACACACACCAGCCAGCACACCACACACACATCACACACACACACACACCACACACACACACACACACACACACACACACACCACACACACACCACACACACACACAGACACACACACACACACACACACACACCACACACACACACACACACAACGCACACACACACACACACACACCACACACACACACACACACACACACACAAAACACACACACACACCACACACACACACACACACACACACACACACACACACACACACACACACACACACAACAACACAACACACACCTTACATACAACTGTGGCGCCGGTGAATAGTGGGTTGCAGAACCACTTATGGAATGCTTATGAGTATTCCAAGACATGTGATGTCTTATCACGTGACAGGGGATCACTTGAGGAGTTTACTTTCTGTTCTTTTCGCATGTCAGGCTGAATAGAATGTCGAATAACATGCCATGGTCTTAATGTTATCAAATAAATGATTCTTTGTGATGATAAGGACTGATATTGAGATAAAAATGAACAAATGAATATTATGCATGGCGCTACCAGGTGAACCTTTCAGTCACATCACGCTTGTAAGAGTATTTGACAAACCAGTAAAATTCAGCAACCAGGCGTCTACCCAGCCCCAACCCCCTCAAAAAAAAAAAAAAAAAAAAAAAAAAAAAAAAAACAGAGGATAGACGTAATTAAAAGAATTATTTACCACCGCCTGTATTTCTCCTTCATAATCTCTCTCTCTCTCTCTCCCTCGTCCTTTCGTCCCACAGCCCTGGAACTCGACCGCGAAATGCTGTCCTACATCGTGGCGTCCATGCTGGGCCCCCTGTTCATCACCAAGGACTTCGAGAAGGACACCGTCAGGAGGACCTCCCTGGATGCCGCCCTCCGCCCCGTCCTCGCTCGCCACGGCAACATGACCCAACTCATCACGAAGTTGTCCTACAGGTCAGCTGATCATGTCATTTTTAAGCGGAGATAGACGGTGAAAGATGAATGAATTGGTAGATAGATGGGAAGGTAGATATGTCTGTATATGAATGGATCTATGTAGGCGTGTAGTAGAAGAGACAGGTGGACCGGAGTTCCACGACAGGTCTACATGTCCCTTTTTGCTAATGCTGTATATATTTTTTTGTCTTCGACCAGGTGCGAGGACCTCATCATGCAGTGTTACAACATCATGTTCACGTTGCCCGGCCCGCAGTGTTGCCAGAAGCTGTTCCGGAGCACCATCACGCCGATCGGAGTGTGCTACAGGAGTGCCTTCGACAGCCACTTTACCCAGGTCATGCCCGGGGAGGGAATGGGCATCAACATCGATCTACATGTTCCTCTGCATACGGAGGCCGGTGGGTGGCATGCCCCGCCTTCACTGTTGCTGACCTCGTTCATGCTTTCGCGTTTCGTGCGTGAATTTGTGTGTTTATATATATATATGTATATATATATATGTGTGTGTGTGTGTGTGTGTGTGTGTGTGTGTGTGTGTGTGTGTGTGTGTGTAATTTTCTATATTACGTCCGCATAACCGATATCGACGATTTTGGTATCGTTGGATTCCTCTCACTCTATACAATGCAAATATGTAGGTTTTATTGCGCGGAAACCCCCCGTTAGCGACAAACTTGGCCCCGATACCGTGGGGGACAATGTCGGAGCGGCGGACGTAATATATAAAATTACCCTAATAATATAACCTCACAGTGAAAATAATCATGTTTATTCACATGACTTTCCATTGCAGGGGGCTGTGCCCCTGCGACCCCCCCTGGGGGGGCTACCGCCCCCAACCCCCGCCGAGGAAACAAAACCACCACGTATTCACGGCAGGATAGAGCGCACACGAACTAGATGCGGAACGGATAACCTACAATAACCTAGGATTTTTAAGTTACTAACCTGATTGATTAATGCCGCTAATTAGTAGGGAGGGTGCTCCTTTGCCGCAGAATGTGAAGGAGGCAGGGTGCGCCCTGCCTGCCCACACCTGCCGCAGGCTTTCTCCCGACGGAGGCGGCCGTGGGGGGAGCACATCTCTAGCATTTTTCCCTGGCTAGTTGCATTTCCCGCAGAAAATCTGTCTCCGAATACGAGCACCCTCCACACTCGGCCATCGCGGCGGCTATAACTGACTTCTGAATGCGACGGTTATTTCGGTTAGGAATACGGATGTCGTTATTCCAGAGGACAGGAAACTCGACCTTGTGTCCATCGGTGTAAAATTGAAAGAGGTGCAGAACCCGCCGACGAGGGCGGGCCACCCTGTTCATCCTGATTATACTACAATCGTCTCTATATACAATGTTGACTATACTAAGGTTAATATGCTGATTCAGTGGGAATCTTACGAGGTAATTGTAATAATACGCCCGCCGCTCCGACATCGACGATGATTGTGTAACGCTCTAGCCTGCCGGGAACACGTGGTGGAGGTTTTGTTTCCTCGGCGGGGGTTGGGGGGCGGCAGCCCCCCAGGGGAGGTCGCCCCCTGCAATGGAAAGTTATGTGAATAATCATAGTTATTTTTACTGTGCGTTATATTATGAGTGCTATTTAAACCCACATTTTCCCTGGAACCTTCCATGCCCTCCCCTGCAATCGGGGTCAAGTTTGTCGCTAACGGGGGTTTCCGCACAATAAAAACTATATATTTGCAATGTGGAGAGTGAGAGGAATCCAACGATACCAAAATTGTCGATATCGGTTATGCGGACGTAATATAGAAAATTACCTATTCTAACACGTACTTTATTATATACCTTAGTGAATGACATAAACGAAGCCCTCCAATCACCCAACCCTCCTACGCTCACGCCCCCCTCCCCCCCGCCCACAGACCTGGACTGGAGCATCCTGAAGGAGAACTTACACACCGTCTCAGGACTACAGATCTCCATCATCAACAGCATCTCCATCCCCAGCTTAAAGGTCCTCGGCGAGAGGGTCGTCATCCAGCCCAACACCAAGGTTTCTGTGGCTGTGGATCACTCTGTGGTAAGGAGCGGGGGGAAGAATGCATGGAAAGGGGGTCCTCGGTTTACGACGGTTTCGACTTGGGACGTTTCGTGGATACGACGCTAGAGGAGAGAGAGAGAGAGAGAGAGAGAGAGAGAGAGAGAGAGAGAGAGAGAGAGAGAGAGAGAGAGAGAGTGAGAGAGAGTGAGAGAGAGTGAGAGTGAGAGAGAGAGAGAGAGAGAGAGAGAGAGAGAGAGAGAGTGCAGTATTTAGTTTGTCTTCCATGTGTTCCTTTAGCCCTAGTTATCGGATTACGACGCCATCATAGGAACGGATTTCCGTCGTAAGTCGAGGACCCCCTCTACTGGACGGGGCCGGATTCTCAAACGCGTTAAGGCGCCGTATCTCCTTAAGGCGCCTTAACCTACGGCCGAGCGATCTTACATACACATACACAGCGCAAGGGACCCGCCTTATTGGTGCGAGTTGAGGCGCCTTAGGTTAAGGCAGGGAAGAGCAGCCTTTAGCTCTTCACGGCGGGCGGGAAATCAACACTCTTCGCTCTCATACAAGGGAAATACAGCAGGACGGTTAAGGCCTCCAGTGCGCCTTAACTTAAGGGTCTTTTGAGAATCCGGGCCCAGTTACGGTCGAAACTTTAGTCGAACCCGTTTCGAATTCCGTTTCGAACCTCCGCAGAATACCACACTTTTTTGTATAGGGACGGTCATCGTGACGTCACCAGAGCTGTTACGTGATCAATCGGAGGCAGTGGTGGGCGCAAACAACAAAATCCCACGAACTTCGTTGTTAAGTATTGGTCTGTCGTGAACATCGTCCCTTTTTTCTCGATTTATATAAGATTCGCATCCTTTTTCACCCTTTTCTAAGAAACTTGGTAAACAGTTGCATTATTACTGGATGTACAAATGGACAGCCAAAAGGTTCAACTTTGAGTTTTAATTGTTTTCCGAAAGACCCCGAGAGAAGGAGGCTTTGGCTATCAATCGCAAGAACTTTGATCCTGCACCTGGGAGTATGTGTGAGTTTGCGCTAATGGTACGTACGATAGCTTTTCTATAAAGATATTCTAAAATTTAAACGGTTATGTTATATCGTCATATCTTTTTCTAGGGGATGCATTTCCCCGTAGTTAGGCATAGGCCTAGGTGGTGGTAGATGTGGGTGACTGACTGGTTACTATTGAGTATCTTCTTTCACTTTAAGTTTCAGTTAATTTGATTTTAAAACATCCCCTGAACAAAGGCCACAAGACATTAAATGGGAACAAAATGAAGATAGGAAATCTAATGACTGCTACACTGTCCTCTCAACAACTTCAGGAAATTTGCTTAAATCTTTTCAAGGTATCATGATGAGTATTGCGTGGGAATGTAAATTTAACCTTTTTGTAAAGTCTGGCTATAACGTCCGAAAAAAATATTGATGAAACCCGTTTTGAGCAACTTTCCGAAAAACCAGGCCTAAAAGGCAAAGAGCGAGCAAGAAAAAATTTCACAAGTTTAGGAGAATTTAATCCTACGACTACGAACCAGTCTTATTATAAGCAGCATTGAGTATTTACTTGTAGCCGCCTTCCAGAGATTTGTAGGCCTTTATTTTTTTAGGAGAATTTAATCCTACGACTACGAACCAGTCTTATTATAAGCAGCATTGAGTATTTACTTGTAGCCTTCCAGAGATTTGTAGGCCTTTATTTTTTTTTATGTGTAAACACCATAAAGGTCGTTCAATCAAACAATTAATATGGTCCAACAAATACAGATAGCTGTATTCTGATTTTTCTTATGTTGAATACCAAATTCCATTATCCTGTTTTGTTTTAAAACTTTAGAAAAATACTTGAAAGCTTGGAGTGATTTGTAGACTTTCAACTCCTCTTGTGTAACTACCCGGCGTGTGTATTAGATAGAGATAAATATCACCAAAACTAACATGGGCCAACCATTGGGGCTTTCAGACCAGCCATCAGAGAGAAAGGATCTGGTAAGCTTTCTGTACCTTTAGAATACTTAAGATCTAATCATGACGTTTTTTTTAGCAACAATCGAGAGATTTGTATTAGGTTGACATCGTTCCCACAGCTGATTGAGCGGCCATTGTTGATCTTTTGCCCGAAGACGCCTTTTGTTTTTGTTTCGTTGACCGTCCCTATAAGGGGAAGGCTAGATCAGTAGCAACTCGAGGAGGTGTCGTGACGTCTGTTTTGGTGATTGTTCAGTGAAAATATAACCATTAAAAACATTTATTTTCCATCCTTCTTGGAAATTGAAAAGACCAAAATGACCGACCATATTCACAAAGCATCCGTAACTTTTGTGACGTCATCAAAATAAACCCCACGTGTTTTTTTTCCGGAAATAGAGTCAGACTTCTTTCTGACAACATTGAGGTTTCTCCTTTCTGGCAACAATGCTATTTATTTTTTTTTATCTGTCTTGAAACATTTATCTTCTCTGTCTCTGACAACTCTCCTCTTCTCACTTTCTGGCAGCAACTTTATTTCATTCTCCCTCTCTCTCTGACAACAATTCTCCTCTTTCCTGACAATTCTCCCTCTCTCTGACAAAAAAAGCTGACAATTCTCCCTCTCTCTGACAAAAACAATTCTCCCACTCTCTGACAACAATTTCCCTCTTTCCTGACAACAATTCACACTGACAACACCCCTCGTCCCTTTATTTCAAACATTCCTCTCTCTTTTCCTGACAACACCCCTCTCTCTTTCTGCCAACACTCCTCTTCCACCACAGACCAACAACGTAGAAGCCACCCGGGGTCTGTGGCCCTTCGCCCCGCCCACGTGCACGCCCACAACCGCCCCGCCCACCGAGCTCTTAAAGACTATGAGGAACTGCTTCCTGTATAAGTTGTACCTGAGGTTCTCTGAAGGAAACTGCAGCATTCTCGCTACGCAGCGTTTTATGACAGGTTGTGATTTTTGTTGTTGTTGTTTGTATGTTGTGACAGGATGATATGTTGATTTTTGTTGTTGATGTTTTTGTTTGTATGTTGGGGCGGGGTGTTATGTAGATTTTTTGTTGTTGCTGTTTGTATGTTGTGACGGGGTTTTATTTTGAATTTTGTTGGTTTTGTATGTTTTGACGTGGCATTATTATGATTCTTGTTGTTGCTGTTTTTGTATGTTGTGACGATTGTTTTTTTTTTTTAGAACAGGTTGTGAATTTCGTTGTTGTCTTATTCAGTTGGTTGTTAATTGTTGTTGTACTCTATTCTTTGTTACTGATTTGTGATGGATGATTGATTTAATGCTTTCTTCTTATTATTTTTAAAAGACGGATCGTTAATCCATTCTTATTTTTATTGCTTGTTTATGAGTCGTTCATTCATTGATTTACGTTGACCTTGCTTTTGTTATTGCTTGGCGATTAGTTCTTATTCTTTTATTGATGTCATGTTTTTTTTTTATTATTGTTTAGGAGGATAATTTATTAACGTAATTAATACAGATATTACTTTCCATTATTATGATTCAGACTTAATCGAAAAACCACACCAAATTCCCTTGTATCTTTCTTTCCAATTTCTGAACAACAATACCTATAATACCTGATGAACAATAACAAAAGACACACAACCGTTATCATCGACTCTTCCAAGAACACTAAAATCTCACCACAAACCACAAAAATTATCAGGAATAACATTTTTTTTTTTTCTCTCTCTCAAAATGAACAGACCAGCTTCCAGTGTGTACCATAGAGGAACAACTCGCCGCCTCAGAGAGAGGGATCCAGAGTGGAAAACACGACGGTGAGCTGAACTGTTTTTATACGCAGGGAATGGTGGTGTTGATGTGGATAATGAGTGAGGGTTTAATGTCCGAAGATGTTTTGTAGTAAGCTGTGAAAAAAAGAGTTCGTTTTTTATAAGCTATTGTAATATGATAAAATTTCTTGGCGTATTTCTGTACTGTTTTTTTGTACTCTGTGGCGTAATTAGAGAAAATGTTTCCAATGGAAGGTAACTGCAAGTTGAAACTCGGGAAATAGGAAGTTAACACTTGAAAGTATGTAAGTTCATTTGATAATAGTTTCACAGGAGAAACGTATAATTTAGCCAATATGGATTAAAAGAGTTTACGATATATATATATATATATATATATATATATATATATATATATATATATATATGTGTGTGTGTGTAGATATATGTGTGTGAGTATATATGTATGTGTGTGTGTGCATTTCTTCTTTCTTTTTTTTTTTTTTTTTTTTCTTATCTTTTTCTCTGTGCTCTATCAAGACACCCACAATAAAAGATACCCCTTAAAGGGCCCTTGAGACACTTATAGATAGATAGATAGACAGCTATATAGATGGGTAGATAGATAGATAGATAGACAGATAGATAGACATAGATAGATAGATAGTCATAGATAGATAGATAGATGGATAGATAGATAGATGGGTAGATAGACAGACAGAGACTCCAATAGAACCAGAAGCTCCAGTTTATCTACCTAAACTTCAGTGTATCCTCTCTTCCGTGTATGTCTGTCAGTCTGTATTCAGTCGCATCTTTCAGCTGCAATGGTGAAGGACGAGGACTTGTGCAATCTCGTATGTGAGGACGAGGACTTCATCAGCCGCGTCATCATCCAGCCGCTGAGCAGCCAGGCATCACGTGATCCGAGTGGTGATGACCCATTTCCGAGGTAAATGCATTTTTTTTTTTTTTTTTTTTTTTTTTTTAGATTTGCCTTCTGTGTGTGTGTGTGTGTGTGTGTGTGTGTGTGTGTGTGTGTGTGTGGTGTGTGGTGTGTGTGTGTGTGTGTGTGTGTGTGTGTGTGTGTAGAATTTACCGAATCACATTTCCTTTTGTCTTTTACTTCTCTCTAGATTACTATTTCGAATTAGAGCAA